GAGAGAGAGAGAGAGCGCAAGGGGGCGTTGTTCCGACTATCGGCGATAATTGTGCCTTATCGAAAGAGAGAACGAGGCGTCGACCATATGCGCAATTAAAAGTCAGCAACGCCGCCGTACTTGGAACTATTCACCGCCCTCCCTCCACCCCCGCACTTTTAAATCAGCACGTTGGAGGCTGGTGGTATTAATGGACCAGCGCGAAATTTCTCACCGATCGCACGTGCGAATTTAATTAATGCGCTTTTTTTCGCGGAGATCACAAGAGTCAAAGTTCTCAAATTTGTTTCCTGACTTCTGTCCTTGAAAAACTTAAAGATTTGAAACATTCTGTACGAGGAGAAGTTTCGCTACACTTTAACATTTATAAAAAAAATTGTAGAGTAATAGATTGATTCGCGATCACGAGATCGTGAAATTATGAAATGTGCAGGCTTTCCTACCCGCAACTTACTTCGATCAAACATACTTGCCATTTTAAATAAATTTCTAATTGATTAGGAGAAAACTGCCCGTAACAACTTTCCCATTCGAAACTCGTAAGTACTGGTTGAAAAACACCGACTCAAGGTGTATCCTTCGAAAGAGAGGACCTCGTGTTGCGACGTCGCGCACGCGTGTGCATCCGTAATGCATATTCTCCTGCATCTGGTTTCATTTACGACGACATCGCATTGTGATTACATGCCGTACAGGTGTTCCTAATGGATGACAACACCGAGGAAACTTGAGACCCGAAATTATTGCGTCTGTTCCTTCGATGCAACGCATCACGCACACGCGTCTAATCAGAAGAACCGACATCACATGACATATCAACCGAAAATAATATTTCGACAACAGAAGAACAGAATCGTATAAAAAAATTAGCTGAAATTTTAGAAATTTAAATAGATCGTAATATACATGTAATTATACAGTTATAAGAATAACGTCACTTTTGAATAATATTTTATTGTATAATTCGATAATTCCCGAAAAAACTGAACTAAATTTCAGAAAATGTATCGACACCGCTGATAAAATATTTTAAACCTATTTTTATAATTCATCCAATAATTAATAAGTTTTTCTTAGAAAAGAAATATAAAAATTATTTTCTCCTTAATATATTATTATTAATTAACGTTGCTTCATTTTAGATGTGAGTACGAATAATTATAGATTATCGGAAATTTATCGGTACATTTAGCGGGAATAATTTTTAAAAAATATGTAATTAATTATTCTCTCAGTTGTAATCCGATGAAGGTGCAATTATCGTATCATTGAATCCGTCGGCGCTCTAATTACATGATGATAGACCAAAGCCCGAAGCGACGTATCCCCGACATTATTTCGAGGGAATTTCCTTTACATCGGAAAAGCAGAATTACAATATTAGACAACTTACCGCGCGATAGATTAGTAGCTATTGTTCAGTATTTCGACATCGCAAAAAGTTTTCTTTAAAACATTTCTAAATCCCTTTTACTTTTTTATCAGGTATTACAAAAGCATTAGTATTATACTGTTTCATTATATTGTCAATAAACTTTATCAAAATATAATCTTCATCAAAGCTAATAAATTAAGAAACTTAATTAATGAAATAAATAAAATATCGAAAGGATAAGAAAACAGAAGAAAGATTTACTGTGCATTCATATACATCTAATTTCAATGTTTCAAATATACTTTACGACTTTGTAAGATGACCGATATGGTCTTAAAATATCGCCCAATGTCCCATCTGTACATTTATATCAAAATGTGTGTTAATCAAAAATCAAACTTTTTTACACTTTTTTAAAATAAACTTCCTCTCAATTGTTTATTTAATTATTTTATCAAAAATAGATAAATTGACTTAAATATTTTCTATTTTCAAATTGGAAAATAACAACCATATATAAATCGACAACACTCCACATATTTTCGATTTTACAGTCATATGTCGCGCACGATCGAAAGAACATTTCTCTACAAAAGTTTTTGAGAAAAAAATACACTATTTTTTTCGGGCGTATTGCATTTTATGATGCAACCTCGATACGTCGTTTCGAAAGGCGGATGCCATACGCGATGCTACGTTATGAAGGACGACGGGCGGCGTCGGCGATACAGTCAGCGATAAATAACAAGCTCGAATGTGAGATGATAAAATGGTATCTCGCTAAACATTTCTACTCCGTGTGGTCCGCGAGATATCAGCTGCATGTACAGTCCACGACGGCCGCAAACGAAGATTATAACACATGGAAAATTGTACAGAAACGCCAAGAGAGAAAAAGGAAAAATAGTGCAAATATCTATAAATAAATTTTTTTAGAAAATATATTTTGTAAAAAAATATTTTATAATATATATTTTTATATATATAAGTATTATATATTTTTTATATTATGTGTGTGTGTGTGTGTGTGTGTGTGTGTGTGTGTGTGTGTGTGTGTATAAAATAAAATATCAAAAAATGTAATATAGGTTTCCCGATTTCCTAAAAATCCGAAAGTGCTCATTTAACAAAATCACAGAATCCTACGAACGGCTCATTGAACTGAAGAAAACGATCGAAAATAACAGTATTTAGCATATCTCATGCATTCGCAATGGCTCCGGTTGACTTTCTCGATCGGCAGATTCACTAAGATTTATGCACATAACGTGGACAGATCGCATTTGCACGAGAAGCGTATCGAATTATGCGTACGGCACGGAGCTCGCCGGGATGACGGGTGCAATTTTTTTTATTGAACCGCCGGCGTTACTCGAGCGTGATCAAAGCACGAAGATAGACGCTTCTTCTGTCGCGACGTATCGCGAGCAAGGTTCTTGCTTCAGCTATACCGCGACGTAGAATTTAAATGATGGTAAAATGTATCGAGAACATTTTATCAGAGAGCTTCTAGAATATCAGAGTGCCCGATGATGGACATATCGATCGTGTTATTCATGAGTAGTATTGCGATATTTCTTATTGTGAGACAAGTATCGCCATTTTTTTTTTAAAGATATATTTAATATATATAATAACATTAATATTAAATTAATACCATTTACATGATTAAGATAGACAAGATGCAACATATCAATTATTACTGCAATTCCGAATAACATATTTAACTGAATTTTTGAGAGAATAAATCTATTTAATGATCACGATATATTTTACGAATTTCCGCGCACATAATAAAAATTTTGTATGGCGGAGATATGACGAAACGTGAATACATAAGAGACGCATCTTCCCTGAACGGAACGAGCCAATGATATTGCAGTAATAATCAAGCTGTTATAGAAGCAAACGATCGTACGATGGGCGAAAGTTCCGCGTCAGCATGGCGCGTGTCGCGGAATTTACGGCAGAGGGATAAGAGGGCAAAAATCTTTTAATAAAACCAGCGTAAAAGTTTCCATCTTGCGAGATAACGGATTATACAACAGGTCGTAAGACGCAGCCGTAAGATGCGCCATTTTATCGGCCGCTGTCTGGTCCAATCCGTGAGGTTACGATGAGTGATTCATCGTCACTTTCGCGACGAATAATAATCGAGCCTCGAATGGATAAAGTACTGCAATATTCTATATTTTATAGAGCAATCCGAGAAAGACAATGGAAAAAAAAATCAAGGGATATAAAAAAATCGATAAGTTATGAACTCCGTCAAGATACTTCGTATCGCGAACGTAATATATAATAATTAACTTTGTCTTTTATTTTAATTTTTTGTTCTTTATTTGTCCTTTATTGAATTTCAATAATTTAATGTCTTACTAATGAGTAAATTTTTAAAATAAAATATATGTTAATTATTATTAATTCTTTTTCTTTTTCATTTTTCATTATTTCGAATCTATTCCAAAATTAAATTAAGAATTTGTTCTACAACACAGTCAAACCAGTTTCAAACTCTCAGAAAACTATGATATCTTATTTTGGTATATGCGCAAGAAAATTTCGTAATTTCGCAGATTCCTGACAATCGCAAACCGATTGGAAACATACAGGAACAAAGCTCTAAAATTTTCAAATTTGTCTTTTATTTTGTCAGCATAAGTACGTCTTCTCAGAGGTCCGTCTACCGGGATGTGTCAAGTTAAGAGTTGAGATTAAGCAAAGTTGAGACCGCGCTGGCGCGCGACGACTGCAGACTGAAAATAGCGCCGCACTCACTGTCTGACTATGTAGCTATGCGTCTGCTACCATTGTCAGTCCGTTCCCGGCTTATTCGTCTATCCGTCGATCGGAAACCGCGCTGCGGCTGGCCGCCGCGTTGCGACGACAGCACCGTTCTGCCCCACGCATCAGTCCCAGGATCAGGATTGCAGTTATCCTCCCCCTCCCGTTGAACGAAATGTCATTCGGATACTGGATTAAATGTCATCCGCAGGTAGAAAATAGAAGTCAATTCGATAATTTACAGATGGTTCATTATGGTAAATTTATTAATCTATTCTTGGAATTCTGCCTAATGGACTTTTCAGTTTATATATCGCGATTTAATATATATATATATAAAACGATCCTTTCGGGTTTGCTCTTGACGACATAAGCTGTGACAAGTATATTCACATTTTTATTTTGCATCATTATTAAAAAATGAAGATCAATAAAAGCGACTCCTTCTGTTTTTCTTGAAACTTGTTAGCCACGAAAATAAAACAATGCCGTTTCGAGTTATATTTCCTATGTGAATCATCCATATGGATGAGATTCTTGCAATTTGAGTTGAGAGCGCGATACTTAGTATCGATAATCGACCTTTTAATTGCAATCCAACGTTCTCGATCAAATTCTCATTCGAGAACACAAATGATACGATCTTTTGTAACAAAAATCAAAATTGATTTTTCGTTAATATGAAATAATAGCTTTAGTCCAATTTGTATCTTAAAAATAACTAGTTTTATGCAACCAGTGACATATGACAGATACGCACACTTAAATACCGCGCAAGTATCGATTAACTCTATCCAACCAAAGCCGCAGTCATACGATAAATAAATTGACTAATTAACTTATGACGCAACATAATTTATGAACCACACACCGGAGTCGTTGTTCCCAGCTATCGTTTGCATTACCTTTACTCGGCATTAATCTCGAGATGAACGATACTTAATTTCTCCTGATTTACCGAGCGCTCGTAGGAGTTAAGCCGCACGTCTCGTTAAACGGGGAGAGAAGAAAAAAAAGCCAGTTTGCCATGTGTCACGCGGCGTAAGTTCGTCGTGGCGTCTCTCTCTCTCTCTCTCTCTCTCTCTCTCTCTCTCTCTCTCTCTCTCTCTCTCTCTCTCTCTCTCTCTCTCTCTCTCTCTCTCTCTCTCTCTCTCTCTCTCTCGTAAAACTCGTACTTGACCCTCTTTTTGCGATAAGCATCGTCGGCGGCTCGCGTCATTACCGGCGCGGGCACCGGAGTTCGCACGAAAGACGACGACGGTGTCTGGCCGGACACCAATAACGGCGGCCGCGATAAATGAGGGTGAACGACTGTACAATCAGCGCGCCGACATTTATCGCGACGCGAATGCACGTTCCGTGCTCGACGCGCGCGGCGCGGATTATAATCCGATTTTATTATCGTTTAACGATCGGCCGAGACGCGGCCGCGCCGCTCGATCGAAAAACCCGCCTTGGCAGACGGCACGTACGAGAGAGCGAGCCCGATGCTATCGGGCTCTCCCGATCGTCATTCCACGGAGGAAAAAGAGGGTCGAAATAGCGCTGGAAATTGCGCTGCAACCAGCGTAACGGTTGCCATAAATTCCGCCGTGACGAGCGCCACCGATTTCATTATCGGCGTTGCCCGGGTTACGTATAGGAATCAGATCGTCGCCGAAAGTCTACCCGCCGAGGACCATTCGACATGCGCGTGATACATTTCAGGTTTTCTCAAACTACGTACACGCTTAAACGCATATTTTTTTTAACATTTTCAATTACAAATAATAATCTCATTAAATCAATCTAAATGAAAATTCATTATTACTAAAATATATTTCTTCCCTAGTTTCAATTTATATTTATTATTAATTTTCATCATGAATTATAAGCATTGATATATAAAAAATATGAAATATTAGTCTCTCCATCTTCCATGAATATATTTGAGGATGCCTAATGCGTTGCAAATTTACCAATAGACGCATGCCGGAAGAAGACGAATTCTCGAATTCGCGCGGTCCAGATAATGATTATTTCACTGAGCATTCAATCGGCGTCACGTCCACGCGTATCGAAAGGCTTTCGAAAGGTCATGCATCGCTCGCCTGTTCGCCGGCTCGCTCGCTCGTTCACTCGCTCGCCCGACTTCGATGCCGACCGCGGCTAGAATCAATGACCAGCATTCCAGAGGTAACGAGCAGCTCCCTCCCTTCCCCGCATTCTTTCGCGGGTGAGCCTAATGGTCCGGGCGAAACGTAGTCGCATAATATTCGCGAAATATGGCGCGCATAAAGGCCCGCCCACGCCGGGCTCAGGAATGTCGTCGCCGGCTGGCAATGCCGCGCGAGAAGGCGGTCACGCCGGATAAGAGTGCATATTTTGTAGGCGCTTTAGAGCGACACGGGCATCTGGACCGTGTCCCCGGATCGAGCCGAGCTCCGTTCGCGCCGAGCGACTTTTAGTTCCAATATTGTCGCGGCGGATAATCGCACGCCTGCTTTAACACGCTCTCCCTTTGCCACCTACCGTTTCCGATCGACCTAATTCATGTAATTAAAGCGTCCGAGAAAGCTAATAACGATAGCCGACATTCGAGTTTCATAGGGGAAAAATGTGCCATCAGCAGACGAGGATATTAATTTTTTTTCAAGACATTAATTTCTCCCTAATGATGATAAGGTATAAAATATAAAATGCATGAATGTCACGATTTATATTTCTTGTGACTTTTCTTCTCCCTTTTTTTTCTCAAATATATTTAAAAAAAATTGCTTTCACTGTAATAAGATGTCTTCGAAAAAAAAATCTTACAAATGATTCACGGCAAATCCGATCTTCCGTTTGCGTTATCGCGTTATTTCTACGTTAGCTTTCTCTCGGAGCTGGTTCGAAACCAAAGATGGTAGAAAAGATCTCACGATGACGTACACGCCTGCTGGCTTTTTCAGTTTCCGCCTTCGGACGGCGAATGGCGTGTCTCACAACACACAGCTTTCCCTCGGATTGCACGAAAACGATCACTACGTATAGCTCGAGAAATCCACAGGAAACTATCGCCACTATCTCTATATAAGAAAAAAAATTGTTGTCATACCAATAATTAAATATCATTTCAAGTATCCTTCAACTGTTGAGTCAAATCTATCGCGATTAACGTTCTTCTCACTTTTATTAATCTTACACGGTATAACATCGGTGCGAGAACAATACCGGAAATATATTCACGATAAAAGCCACTTGATCAACTAATTAATTTAATATAAATGTTAATTAGAGCTAATTAATAGCGTAATTAATTTCCAACATGTCGACGCGGCCTGTGCTACGGTAATAAATCGACTGCATCGCACGCCCACCGTGGAAGGAAGGCCGTGTCGAGCGTGGATAGACAGCCGAATAATAGAAAATTGTTTTCGGCGGGACGTGGTGCTGCGGTCGCTCTCACCTGGCGTGTGAATGAATTAGAATCGCATTATGCACGCTTGTCCCGCCCCGTCAGCCCTGGCTGACGCGTCGCTCGCGTGTGCGTTTCGGATTCAATTAATCAAAGATTGAGTTACTGTGTCGCGGATAATGAAACAATGACCCGCGCGCGCCGCTTTCCCAATTAATTTCCCAACACATTTTTCGCGCGGCCGAAAACGAAGTTGGCGCTCGAATCCGAAGTAGCAAAAATAATAATCGCTCGTCTTGGATCCGGCGAGATATTTTCGGTTAAAACTACGGTTGCGGATAAACACTATTAATATGCACGCAGTCACTTTTAATTAACTCGATAAGATCTGCGAATTGACACTATCTTTCTCTAATTAAGTTACGCTCGGTGCAGGACTACCGGCATATTGTACGTGCGCAATTTTCACCGAATTATAAATTCCTCTCGCATGTTTCCAGTAATTTCAACCCGGTATTAAAGTACGGAAATAAGAAAGGAAGAAACATACCGCGCGATCGGAATTAAATCTTTCTAAGTTTACATCGCATTTTGATCACGATGTGGCGATAAAAGTATTATTTCCAGGAAAACTTGTTACATTTTGCATGCATAAAAATACGCTTGCTGAAACAATTTTCTCCTATCAGTATTCACCCTCAATTTCAACGTAGCTTTTATTCAGTAAAAAATTGAAAATATAAATTGAAAATATAAAATAGGCAAAAAAATAAGAAGAAAAGTACCGTCTAATTGATTAATTAACCACATTATATTGTTGCTTAAATCATATCGCGTAAATGTAGTGTGTATAAACCGATAAGAGATTTTATCGTGCTATCGTTGATAGTCTGATAGATTAGGGAAAAAAAAAAAAAAACAATATTGCACGTAATGTCACGTAATAACACCGTTCTGTTCCTTTTTCTTCCCAACCACGTAATCGGCGCATTTTCTTATCCGTGCTTAGAATCGCAGAAACGATTCGCTCCCAGTTTCATTCAAGTTTCCATTTAGTGGCCGCTCATAGTACGCGATGTACTACTACAGCTATTACTTACTACGCCTCGTGCCTATGCACTGAATTTATGCAATCGCGTCAGCAATGGCTGCAAAACGCGCTCGATCCGTACCGGGGTTTATATCATTTCCCTCCAACCGCGAAATTATATGATTTATGTTTCTACAACTTAATTCGCGAAGGCGGGTCCGGTGTCTCTAATAATTCATATCTAAAGATTTATTAATACCCCGCGGCAGTTTTACACGGCGAAAAAGATGTCTCTATATTTTACAAGAAATAAACGTCACCTACATTTCCTACCAATTCTAAAACGTCCTTTTTTTTTATATATATAAATACGTTTAAATAAAAATTGAATGTAAATTTTAAGACACATGACGCGTCTAAGGTCTCAGATTAAGCTTATATAATATTTATTTTATATTATTTAAAATTAAGCTCGTAATTGTCGATCTGAATTTTCTGAAATCAACAACAAGAAATAAATTCAAAATAATTGTACGCACTTAATACTGCGAAAAGAAAAAAAACTCACATCCGCATTCGAGGACTTCGCTAAAACACGTTACGTGCGGATATAAGGCGCGTGCACACGCAGACGCGTATCTCCTCACGGTAATCAGCGCGATATTACGCGGGCGTGCAACGTAACGTTAATCGTTAATTAATGTTGTTGTGCAATTCGCCTCGACGGCCGGTCTGTTCTCCATTGAGAAAAAAAAAAAAAAGTGAACGGTCGCGAAGCAACGGGAGACAAAACCGAGCCCGAAGTTCCGCGACGGAGATTTCTTGTAAAACGAAAGGATTAAATATAACGTGATTTATGAACGGCAGACGGGCGTAATTATCAGTGAAACTGCTCGTCGGAGTGATAGTAATTTAAACGGCGA